AGTTAATATCGTAGTTATTAAAAAAGCAATTGTCTTCGTTACTCTTTCCAATAATAAGTCGTTTATTAATGTCATTAAAGATGTGTACGTTAATCCAAAAATTTACATGAATTACATAATAGCAATAAACAAACGAAAGAATATCACGTTTTCGGGTACGATAAAACACGGAGGAGGCATTGTAACGGTGTGGGGATGCATTTCGACTTCCGGCGTTGGCAATTTAGTTTTTATCGATGGCGTCATGGTTAAGAATGCTTATTTGAATCTTTTAAGAAGCAATTTAAAACAAAGTGCAGACAAAATGGGGATTGCTGAAGATTTTTAATTTTACCAGGATAATGATTCTGAACATAAGTCGCGCATTGTCTAAGAATTTTTATTGTATAATTGCCCCAAAGTGCTTCGTCCACCTCCACAATCACCAGGCCTTAACTCTATAGGAAACTTATGAGATAAGTTGAACCAACGGATTCGCAAGGCACCCATTCGTTCCAAAGAAGAACTTAAAATTAGGCTTCAAGAAGAATGGGCATCCATTCTCGACAGAATATTTAAAAAAAATAATTTCTAATATGCCGAATCGATTGAGACATATTATAAAAGAAAAGAGATTTGCAACAAAATATTAACGTGGAACATATAATGTTTAATTTTAATTAATAAATGTTATTCCTCGTAGTGTCCGAATATTTTTGTGATCCGAAAATGCGGTATTCTTTCGTTTGTTTATTGTTATCATGTAATTTATGTGAATTTTTGGATTAATGTATATATCTTTAATAATGTTAATAAATGATTTATTATTGGAAAAAGTAACGAGGAACGATCGCTTCTTTAATAACTACGATATTGAGCCATAAAGCTAACCATACACTGGTGTCCGAATATTTCTGCCAGTCACTGTATGTATTATGTAATTACGTATGTATTGTATGAATCTACAAAGAGATTCCAATTGCATTAACACGTTGACTGCCAAACAAATATTCTTTAAAGTTTCTACTAAAACGAAATATTATTTAAACTATCGGAGGCTGGATAATCAAACATTTATCGTCGTATTTATTTTTGTAATTTCATCAAAATTCATGAATTTCGTTTAAATTCGTTTCCTTTGATGCTTGACATTCGGAATTAATTTCGTTAGTTCTTCAGTGGCAACATGGCGATTAACGTGTTAAATAAAAGAAAAAAAGTGCGAAACTGAGCGTTACGAAGAACCGAAGAAATACGAAATTTGAGCTAGTAACGATCTAAAGCTTAAAACTATGTTTCGCAATTTCGCCGAGCAGTTTTCGTCTCGCAAAATTCGAGAATTTCTCTAGTTTAAAGTAGTCGATCAGGTCGAGATCCTCCCCCAAGGATGACAGGTATTTTTCAGCGATCCGAGCGGTTTCCTTTTCCTTCTTACTTCCATTTCCTCTTTATTTCCTCCGGGGACAATATTTCTGATACCGTATCTGCGGAGCTTTCAACGTTGTGTACCTAGGAACGGTGCGTCGACTAAATTCGCTTCGAACATTCGAAACGCGAAGATTACAATTATTACGCGTTAACCAGACACGCTGGTGGTAATTTACAACCGACAAAGACCATGTAATCGAGGTACAAACAGTGGAACAGCCGTTGTAAATATTTGCCATGACACGGATTCACCTTGCTGCGACTGTTCCTCGACGACCAAAGGCTTCTCCGAACGGTAAATCCGGCGTAATGGATTTCAAATTATCCAGAAAAATTGGGGAGGAAAGCAAACCCTCTTTCCTGTCGCGGAGAGGATTTTTAGGACAGTCGAAACCGATAACTGAAATTACACAAAACGTTAAAGTAATAACAACAGAAATTTCGACGTAACGAAATAAACAATCACGGAATGAAGAGTCCTCCTGCAATTTAAGAAAGGTAGGGCAATTTAACAGTTTGACTGCCAGACTGATACTCTGAAAAATGTCTACTGTGATTAAACTTTGTTTGCAGACTATTGGAAACTGCGTAATGAAACATTTATTGTGGTATTTAGTTTTGTAACTTCGTCAAAGTTCAAGTATTTCATTTAAATTCATTTTCTGCGACGCTTAACTTTCAGAATTAATTTTCGTAGTTTTTCAGTGAAGAGGGCGTGTAGGATTCGTTGTTGTATACACGGTAGCCTGATATAACGAAATGAAATTGCGCTGCTTGTATGTCAAACGGCCGAGAAGAAGAAAAACCGGGAGGATCAAGGGAAGGAATTTACAAGAGACCGCAATCAGAGAGTTACTGGGAAGAACAACAATTCCACCCTGGTTTTCCCAACAAAGCAAGAACCTCCGAGTTTCCGACCGTGGAAATGTATTCAATGCGCCCACGGGAGCGGTTCAAACGTTGATCTCCGACGACGTTTCTGTGGAAGTTCCAGTTTATTACCTCTGCCAGGGTCGCGAGTAATCTGATTAACGAAGATGAATGCGTTCCCAGCATTTAGGAGAAACGACACTTCTGATTGAACGAACTTCTATAACGGAGTCTCGGAAGAACATCGACCGCATTCTCCCTGCGAAACATATTTCAAAGTGTAAACTCTCTTCTCTTCTTTAATTTCTCTTCTCTTTTTTAATTTAAGTCCAAGGTGCTCTCTTTCTCCCATATTGCACTACTATGTGTACCATCGGAGTTAC